CAAACATGGACAGGCCTTTCCCCAGAAATGTTGCCAGGCACAGGGGCAAGTTTCCGCGGAAATGGGTGTTGGAGGTGGTAAAACCCCAGTACAACGTTCGAAAATTTTGTATCATATACCTCAAGAAAAATGACTATATTTAGCTTTTATCACATGTTTGATTTACTAAAATATATCATTTTACTTTTGATCAGTATTTCAACCTTAACACCACAAACTGAACTTACCAAAGCATAAAACAGTTGTTGTCATAAGAAATGAGAACAATCTTCTTCATATTCATATCCAAATGTAACGTTAGACAATGCAAAATGATTTTAATGTAGATTTTCAGTTGAAGAAATGCATACGACTGCGAACGTTTATAAAAGATATAGTTCGCTATTTAATAGCTTTTTATATCATTTCAACTTTGTAATAAATCGTGCAAAATTTTCATTTGCATAAATTCAATTTAATTTATTTTTTACATCAAACTTTATCTTATATTCAATATAAAATATCATTTGTATTCCAATCATTTGCGTGTATCAGCTATTTACTAGTTTTTGGAGTTTTGAAAACAATATTCTAATAAGAATCGATAAATGAATGAAGTTTACATTACATATCTTTTTAAATAAAATGCACTTTTGTGGAGAAAATTTGGTATAATATATTGGAGCCAATGCAATATTAAAAAATAGAAAAGTAGAAGTTGGATAGGTTTTTTAAGTATTTCTTAACCGATTTACTTTTACTGTTTCAAGCATCAAACACATACATGTTATTGTGTTTACCCCTAAATACATTTTAATTTTTTTTAAACTAAATGAATTCAGAAAAGCATGCAAAATGCAAAGAAAATGAGAACATTCAGAAACTCAATTAATAAACCACATTTGTAATGCCTCAGTGCTGCATGGAGCTGAAATGAGTGCGCTTGGTAAAGGATTGTGGCATGTTGCGACTATTTCAAACAATCAAGAAATGTTATCGTTTATCATAAAATGTTGCGGAAACTTACAAACCCGCATGATTTTTTGCTTCTGCCGAAATCGTACAAAATAACGCAGGGAACGAAACAATCTCAATGTTATAAAACGGTTGCTGGAAACAGCAAGGAACATTTTGATTCCAAAGGCCGGTAGCGTCTTCGGTTTTACATTTTTTTGACCGTTTGTCAAAGTGTCTATAAAAGTCGAAGAACAGGAAAGAAACGCAACATTTTTTTAAAGTGTTTTCCAATTTTTTCAAAAAAGTGGAGGAGAAATTATAGGCCGCAGCTTTTTGTTCCTCAACAACGGTCTCGTAAGATATCCCGGCGAGTAATACCAATTTTCAGCCGCGACGTTTTGTGCAGACATCTCCAGGTATACAAAATCGAGGATTAGATTAATGCTCAAAACCGTTGTTTTAACAAGGTATGCATGAATCAAAATATCGCGTATTATTGTATCTGCAATCTGCTACCTACAGAAGGCATATGCTTGAGTAGTTTTGTCTGTTATGTAGACAGAAAATGTCGCCGTTTACTTCATAAAACTCGACTTTTTTACGACAGAAGTGTGACAGAAAAGCTAGAAGGTTTCTATAAGTCGCGACATTTTATACAATTTCGACATAAAACCTCGCGGATTTAAAACTTCCCCAAATCCTTGCCCGCGACATTTTAGAAACTGCGGCTTTAAACTGGACGCTACCTCCATTGACCATAACTTGTCTCGACTGAAATGAACTGCTATATTTGTATTTGTTTATAATGAAAATTTCCATATTTTTTTTAAAAAATTTTTTTTCCCAGATTTTCTGTGCTGACTTGATGTTGTACCATTCAGTAATTCACTCTATACAGAATACATGTATAATATAGATATTCAGTGGTATATAGTATATAACTCGCATATTGTCATCTTACAATTTTTCTTTCTACATAATGATTATAATAACTTTCATGCAAAATGAATTATATTCAGAAATAATGATACTAATCAAAATTTTCAATTATATTTATAAAAATTTAAACACAATTTCACGTCAATACCTTTCTAAGACTAACTTTAAAATAAAAACTTGCAAATATTTTCTAATTAACCAAATAATAAGAAGAATAGTGTTCTGTTTAGTTTTTTTTTTTTCAAATACTGTAATTATATTGGGAGTTCTATAATTTGATGTTTGGATTGCAATACTTTTTTCTGCTCTAAAGGTATCCTATGTCAGTTTCCCGTTTCAATTCTCGTCGGCATTTAATGATTTATTTTATATACCGACAATTATAAGATAACTCACTAACATATCTCTGAATTTCAAATTTGTTTTTTGAAAAAACAATATTATTTACAGTTTAATGTGTTTTCTATAAGGTTATTTAATGTATAACATTAATGTCATAACATGACTTCTGTAACTATAGACTACATTATCAATTAACTTTTCAATATAAAGCATATTTTCACTTCAAATGTAAGGCTAATATGAAGTTCACCACGACATTATGAACATAAAACAAGGACATTGTGCAAAAAGATGTCGTAGATTTACATTATACTTTCCCGCGCTACTTTGTACATAAATGGCGCTTTGTGGTACGTTGACGTCTGTGACGTCATTATTGTTTATTATTGTTGTTGTTATTGTTTGACGTAGATACTTGTAGTAAACTGAGAAAAGAAGACACAACGCTGTAGTACTTAATCAACCAATATACGAGATTGGTGCCGTGATACAAAAAAGATGAATCTACAGAAGTTAATTTTAGTACGTAGCGGCAACAGAAGCGTTATTTCAAAGCTTTTGTGCAAAATCGAAGAAGCGAAGGAGAAATAAGACAAAATAGAATTCAACACTACTCTGGAGGCCCTCGAATCGAAGACAAATACATTTGATGCACTCGATGAGAAGATTCTATCTCAAACTGGAGTCGAGGATATCGAAGAAGAACTCATTACCACCGAAGAATATAAGCTTGAACTCGAGATTCAGTCACGGAAACTTAGAGCGTATCGTCAAATGAACTCACAGACAGACGGTCGTACGAGTGAAATTACCGAGAATCATGAAGCAATAAGTCATATAACAGCAGACGATATGCGGGAGAACTTTTCTGATGGAGTAGACGGTGGGAAGACCGGAAGTCATGTCAACGTTCAACTTCCGGGAGGAAATATTCACTTTGATGGTTAACAGAACAGCCTAGGTAACAATCACTCTTTTATGTCGACAAGTTCACATTATCATACGTTACCTAAACTTTCATTACCGAAATTTAATGGCGACATTTTAAGCTGGCAGACATTTTGGGACTCGTTTGAGTCAACTGTTCATCTCAATTGTAACTTAACGGATGTGCAAAAATTTTCATATTTGAAGAGTCAGCTTGAAGGTGAGGCGAATCGGACTATTGATGGTTTTGCACTTACAAATACAAACTATGCACGTGCGACAGAACTGTTGAAAGAAAGATATGGCCCAAAGCATAAAATAATACACGCAACAATGCAAGCATTGCTTCAACTACCAGCCCCAAAAAATACTTTACATTATATTCGTGAATTCTATGATAAAATGGAGACATACATTCGTGCACTGGAGAGTTTGGGCCAGCAACAAGAATCTTACGGCGATTTACTCGTGCCTATTGTGCTCGACAAACTTCCGGGAGAAATGAGAAAAAATCTCGCGATGGGTCACGGTGACAGGGATTGGTTGTTATGTGACTTACGTAGAGGTATTTACAACGAACAACTCGATTCAACCGGAAGTAGAAACTTACGGATCTACTGCATCATTATTCATTGCGGCAAGAGGTACCAGAAATTCGAACAGTGCACATGTGACAAGAACTGGAATAAAGTGTTCGTTTTGCGAGGAAACCTATGGAGCCAAAGATTACCGACAGAAGATAGAAGATACCACTGAAAGTTCTGATTGTCCCGACTAAAGCAATTCCTATAGATAACACACATAGCTCCGACATCTCAAGTTTGCCTTACCTTAAAGGATTATTTAAAATTGGCACATCCAGTGACGCATTATAAAGAGTTTGCTATTTCCTTGCTAATCGGAGCCGACTTTTACTGGGATATTGTTGAAGATATTGTTGAAGACGAGAATATACGTGGCACAGAGCCTACTGCCGTAAAGTCGAAAATCGGATACCTTCTGTCTGGACCGATCAATTCAAGTAAAAGTAGCAGAAGTGTTGAACAGATTTTAAACGTAATGGTGTTTCACATACCAGTGGACATATCGATAGAACGTTTCTGGAGTCTAGAAAATATCGGAATTACACCAAATGACACGGACCGGGAGTTAGAAGACGAAAGACAACAGTATCAGCTCAAGTCAATTGAATTCAAAGATGGAAAGTATACTGCACGGTTACCATGGATAACTGAACACCCGGAACTACCTACAAATTATGATATTATCCTAAAACGCACTGAAAGTACAGTCCGCAGATTGAGCAGAGAACCCGATATGCTAAAGAAATGAACTCACCTCAATTATGCTGAGATTTCGTATGCATGCGTATGCTGTTACAACAGATATTGAAAAGGCGTTTTTGCAGGTGGGATTACATACAGATGACCGAGATATGACAATATTTATATGGCTGAAAGATCCGGATGACCCCAACAGTGACTTTTCAACTTATCGATTTTAAGTTGTGCTTTTTTGTGCAACTTGTTCACCTTTCATACATAATGCAACGATACTAAAAATTTTAGAGAACAATCCACATACGACTGTATCAGAAATATTACGTCGAGATTTATACGTCGATAACGTCATATCCAGTTTCAAAGAAGAAGAAGAATGCCTTAATTACATTAAAGAAGCACGCACCTTGATGTCCGAAACCGGAGGTGACAGTCGGACAACCTAGCACATCTTCGTGGATGCAAGTATTAGATCGTACGGTGCAACGGCGTTCATCTGTAACGGGAAAGGTTCAACTCTGGTGATGGCTAAGAATCGCGTGGCACCGCTCAAACCATCTGCCAAAACTTGAACTCATGGCGGCGCTTATTGGAGCTAGACTAGCGAAATATTTGCAGACCACATTTCCTACAGCAGACATCACACTGTGGTCCGATAGTCAAATTGTACTTTATTGGCTATCTACGAAAAAGACAATAAAGAGATTCATCGAGAATCGTGTAAAAGACATATATGTCCTTACAAGCCAATACGTATGGAAATATTGTCCAACAAGCGAAAATCCAGCCGATTTACTGACGAGAGGTTTAACAGCTGAAAAATTTATGAAGAACGATCTTTGGATGAAGGGACCGATATGGTTATGTGACAAGACAAAATGGCCGATATGTAAGGTCTCAAACCGGTGACACGTGCAGACGATAATTGAAGAGCAAGCCACCGGAAGTCAGCGAGCAGAGTTAGACGAGCAAATGATATCTGAAGTTACACATCATGTACCCAGTAATAACATACAGAATATTATTGACATAAGGAAATTCAGCAATCTAAGTCGGTTACTTCGCATTACAGCTTATATTCGCCGATTTATTCAAAACTGCAAGGTCGACCAGTCGAGACGAAACTTCGACCATCTTTCTACTAGTGAACTTCAGCAAGCAGAACAGCGGTGGATACACTATTGTCAAGCCAGTGTATACAGTACAGAGATACAGGTGTTAGTGAGAAACCAGGTCAAAATCACCATTAATAAAGCAGCTTCGATTATTTCTTGACCAGACCGGATGTATCCGTTGCGGCGGAAGACTTAACAACGCAGCCGTGGATGACGTCACAAAGTACCCGTACCTCCTACCAAAGAAGTCTAGACTTACTAAATTGATAGTCCGCAATGCGCATGAGTTACTTGGCCATAGTGGTTTAAATGCTACAGTTATTAGCATTAGACAGTCATTTTGGATACCAGCTATACGACAATGCGTGAATGCCGTAATCCGAAACTGTGTCACATGTCGTAAAGTGCACGGACTTCCATACAAGTCACCTGAAGTTCCCCCATTGCCGAAATTTAGAGTAGAAGAAGCCCCGCCCTTTACCATTACCGGAGTAGATTTTACTGGTACATTATATATCAAAGAACCCTCTGGAGCGAGAAAAAGGCATACATATGTCTATTTACATGTGCTGTTACCAGGGCCGTTCATCATGAAGTAGTTACAAGTTTATCAGCAGACTGTTTCTTACAAGCTGTACGACGATTCTCAAGCCGGAAGTCGCAACCCAAGCTCATAGTTTCAGACAACGCTAAAACGTTCCAGACGGCGTCTACTTATTTGAAAGCCATGTTCGAATCCCAGGTCGTCAGAGAGTCCCTAGCAAATACTGGCATTGATTGGAAATTTATACCTGAGAGAGCCCCATGTTACGGAGGTTGGTGGGAGCGACTGATAGGTCTTACAAAACAAACTCTCAAGAAGATCCTTGGCCGTGTAATGGTAGACTTAGAGACACTACAAACCTTTGTAACCGAAATTGAGTCCCTGCTGAACGATCGACCACTGACGTTCGTTTCATCCAGCCTAGAAGACCCAGAGCCATTGACCCCAGCGCACCTGTTATATGGTCGCAAGATTAGGCCCTTACCATACGTTGGAGCGGAGATTGAGCCCAGAATTCCATCAACTGTAGAACGCAACATTATCTCTAAACGGGCTAAAAACCAGTTCCGGATTATTGAACAGTTTTGGACACGTTGGAGAACGGAGTATCTCACAGCACTCCGTGAGCGACATAACAAACCCGGAAATAACTCACAAACTATCTGTACAGGGGAAGTGCTACAGGTGCATCAAGATTCGCCACGAACCCGTTGGAAGCTGGCAGTAGTTGATAGCCTTATCATCGGGAGAGATGGCTCGGTTCGAGCAGCTAGAATTCGTTTTAGCAATGGACTGTACGCTACCAGACCGATTGTGAAGCTATATCCACTCAAAGTAATAGACAATAGAGACTGTGATTAACAAAATGTTTCGAGAAAAAAGACTTCATAAATTGTAAAAATTATTCGAGATTTTACAAAGACTTAGAATAGCTCACTGAAAAAAGTTCAAAACTACACATATTCATTTAAATAATCTAAGAATTGAATGCACAGCGTTAACAGAGACTTTCTGATTTAAATGATGAACATTTTCTTATTAAGTAATACATTTCTTTTAAATCATTTACATTGATAACATACGTGCAATTTCATGTGCTATTTATTATTTTTCGCGCCCCCCCCCCCCCCGGATGTCGTAGATTTACATTATACTTTCCCGCGCTACTTTGTACGTAAATGGCGCTTTGTGATACGTTGACGTCTGTGACGTCATTATTGTTTATTATTGTTGTTGATATTGTTTGACGTAGATACTTGTAGTAAACTGAGTAAAGAAGACACAACGCTGTAGTACTTTATCAACCAATATACGAGAAAAGTATCGCCTTTTTTTTCTTCTTTTTTTCATTGAAAAAAGTCTCCAGTTTTAATTGCTGCAATGTAGGTTTCCGTGACATTTTTTAAAACATGGATCTCATTGCAATACCTCACAACAACGGAATTTCACATTAGTTATTTTTATTCACTAAGTACTTAACTTTTTTTTAGATTACGTGTAGTTAATTAATAAAATTGCCTTTGACTGCTTATATGATAGTCTGCAGCCCAATAACAAGGCCATTATGAAAACATTTAATTATTATAATCATAATAGTAAATGCGTTTGATACACTTGATACTCATTTTCACACACTCTGTGCACATTTTCAATAGAAATATCTCCAATATATGATACAATATATAAAATGAATAACTTTTAAAAAGTTACAATATTAAGATGGGCTGTTGAAATGAAACTTGAAGCATCGTTTCAGCTTGTTATAAATCATTTAGATTTGAATCTAGATAACAATAATGGTTTTGATATACAGTTTTTAAATTATATTTGGTTTCGTTTCGGTCTATAAATTCATTTACAGTCAGTAGCGCAGTTAATATATAAAATTACATTTAAAAATGTGTTTTATCAGAAAGTAGGAATAGGTGACTTAAACAGCACCAATACCCGCCAGGTAAGTTAAATTTAGCAATTTAAATATGCTTGCTAGATATGATGATATATTATTAATAATATTAATAATGGTGGTGGAATTGATGATGATGATGATGATTTTTTATGTTTTAATTACTATAATTTGACAATACAGGTTACATTAATTACATAAACCACCATATCAAAAAATTGACCGAACAAACATCTATGTGTATGTTATATCATTTAGAATCAAGATTGTGTAATTTTTCGTTTTAAGGCCTTTTTTCCCGTTCATTTTTGTCATGTTGGATATTTGACACACCTAAAAACTACATCAACAATTATTTATAATGAATAAATAAATAAATAAAAAGGTAAGTAAGTTAGTCAGTTAGTAATTAAATAAATAAATAAATTTATTAATAAATAGAAAATAAATAAAGTAAGTAGAAAAATAAATAAAATGATTAAATAGATAAAAAATAAATATATATATATATAAATAAAAAATAAATAAATAAAAAATAAATAAATAAAAAATGGATAAATAAATAAAATAAAAAAAATCAAATAAATAGATAAATAAAAAAATAAATTTGTAAATAAATAAATACATAGGTGATTAAGTCAGTAAATAAATAAATAAATATAAATTAATTAAAATAAAACAACAAAAAACAACAACAAAAATAAAACGAATACTTCATCAAATAAAATCAAAGCACAGAAGGCGCTGAATTTGTTTGGGTCTCAGAATGTAAGAAAGGTGCAGGTTGTGAGATTATATGTATAGTGCCACCAATGCTTTCCAGCGTTTTAATTGTAGAAATTTGGCTATAAGACTAATTGCAACACTGATATTCAATCCAATGTTTATTTGACTTTAACAATTTGAGAAAAATGAGTTACCTTTATTGGGATTTGAACTCCAGACCTCTCGCTTCCTAAGCGAGCCCGAAAACCCTTCAGCCACGGTGAATTTAAATGTGAACGGCCTGAAGAAAACCATATTATTCTAAATTAGGGCTTATAACGACTTTAACTGTTGTTTAACTCAGATGTAAATAATCCTGGAGCTTACTATAAGCATGTATATTTATAAAGAATCAAAGGGCTGCAAGTTCTGTGGTATTTTCTGATCTTTGCAATCTAAATCGTACTGTATATCTGTATGCATTTTCCTGTATAAGTTTATTTTTATGTATTATAATTCATTTTGCAAGGCACCAGAGTTTGATACATACGGAATTCTGCATAACTAGAGTTGCATCAAAAAATCATTTATGTTCATTTTTTACGACAGCCACACTTATCCTTGCATACCATGGCTACTTCCTTAACAAAGACACTTAAAAAAGAAATTAACAAAAAAAAGTTTTCTCGACTGGGATTTGAACTCGAGACCTCTCACTCACTAAGCGAGCGCGTTACCACTGAACCACGGAAAAGTTATACTAACATTGTCTGAATAACATCAAGTCATTCTAAATTTAGAACTTCCATTGCATTTCGGGTTTGTAATCCTTATTAATTTCGAGGTATTTTGTTCAGGATAAACCTGTTGTTTAATATTGAAGTAAATATTTTAGCGAAAATCTTCTCGCCCAAACAGTCCGACATGTAGAATCTATATATTCCACTACTCGGTTTGTGTAGTATTCGGTAATCGACCTCGCTAAAAATAGTATTTTCATTGATAAAATCATATTCATCCGCGTAATTTGTGATTGTGCATTTATTGACAATTCTATAAGCCAACGCTATTGTTTAACTTTGAATGCGTTGTAATTTGTTGGATACTTATAACAAAATAAAATATTTCTTTCTTTTAAATCGCTAGTTTTAAGCTGTTTTGAGAACTACTTGTTGTTAGGTTTGTCGTAAACTTCTGTGTCAGAGATTGAATGTCCGCTTTGTATTTACTTTTTTTCGATCAGAAAATACAATAAAACAATATTAGAACTCTTCGACCATTCGGGAATTACTTTGCTTGAAAATTAAGTGCCTATCTTTGACCAACTTTACGCAGTGATCTCCCCTGAATTTTTCGGCGTTAGTGTACATACAAAAGGGAAGTAACCGCTTCAAAAAAGTGGACTACTTTCAGCATTTGCAATTAACAACATTAGACTCTGAAATTTCGCTACCATTATTTGTTTGGTCTGACGACCCAAACAAATAAAAACATGTACATGAAAAGGTAACTATTCACTAACTATTTAAGGGCCGAATATCAAACTATTTCACTTTATTTTCAAACAAAGTCAAATTAAACAAAAATGATTCAAATTTGTCAATTCTGAAAATGGCGTATTTAAATTTCGAACTTAAGTAACAACATTTTTTTAAGCTTAACATTTAATTAAATTTTCTAGAAATTGTTTGTATACATATAACATATACATGTAGAACTTGATACAACAAGTTCTATGACTGCTTGCGCACTTTAAAGCAAAATACCTTCCATTTTCATCTTTGTTTTGAAATAATTAAAAAAAAAAAACGTTGTATTTTTTCTATGTTTCGAGTTGTTTAGTTTTATGCCGGCGATATGGACATTTTCTCTACGGAGCCGAGATTTTTTTCATAACATGCACTGTTGTTACTTAAGTAGGAGGAGCTTAGAAAATGTGGCTGCTAAAGTAGGAGGAGCTTAAAAAGTTTAGCTTAAAAGCTATGTATAAAATATTTCGTGGTTAAGCAGGATACTGTTGCTAGAGAAAACAAGAAATTAAATTAAACATGTTAACTGACCCTTTGAAATAAATATATGTTGTCTTTATTTTTCATCAAAAGCATTCATAAACATACGTGTAAATTAACAGTTAACCCGTTTGTGCACAATGTCTCTACGTTCCGCGAGACTGTCAGTGACATTTTATTAAGGTAAAACATTAATAATATTTCTACTGGAGTTTTAAGTTCACCTTTTCATCGGTATATCAACATGAAAAAAGCGACTGAAGCATGCTTATTTTTTTTTTAATTAAATTTTGTACCGACCGAATGTCAGGGACATTGTATCAAGGTAAAGATTTCATAATTTTCCACACTGGAGATTTATTATCATCTGTTCATCGGTATATCAAAATGAAAAAAAAAGACTGATGTTTAAATCAAAATGTGTAACGACCGTATCTTATATAGTATGTTTGGTAGAAATATATGAACTTTAAAAACTATGTGGGATACAAATAACCTATCTATCATATTTAATATTAAATGAAACTATATCAAATTCAAAATGAAGGTTATAATTTATGTATTACATTAAGAATTTTTGTAAATAACTTCTATAGAGAAGTATGATTCGTTTCGTCGCTTTCATTATACTTTTAAGAAAAATAAATTTCGTAATAAAAAACGAAACTGGGTTTTTCTCTTTTTTACTCTTTTTTCTTCTTTTTTATGATTTTAATTTGTTTTGCCCCGTTTCTAGATTTTGTACAATGCATTCGTTAGGGGAGGCAGTTGATATCCAATATTATCTAAATAAATATGTGACGGCAGTGTGACACTATTTCTTTTCCCTTTTTTTTTTTTTTTTTTTTTTTTTTTTTTGCCTCTGTTTGGTCTCTACAAATGCAAGACTACTTCTGATAAGTTAAACATGTGCATACATTTTCAGATCTTTCGGACAAGACTTCAAACATAGAGTTTATTTTTTTCATCTTTCTTGCCTTTTTTATATAAAAAAATCAAAATATAAGTAAACTGTTTCAAGATAAGTCTTTTTTTATCTAAACACAGAATGGTAAATCTTGGTAGCGTGCTGGTTTTGTGTGTGACATTTGTGACGTCAGCAGTAAGTGAAACATGCAACGAGACGCCATCTTGTTCAATTTTCCCAAACCAAGACCGCGGTGTTGTGACTCTACAAGATCTAACTCAGGTAACACTTACTGTCTTTTTTTTAACTTTGTAATACGTTTAATATGAAAGAA